CCGCCGCAAACTACTAGATAGGAAAAAGTGAACCTCGGACAGTATTCGAACCGACAACCATGCGCTTCTTGAGCGCGCGCTCTACCAACTGAGCCATTGATGAGGGTTCTGCATAAGTGAAGTTAATCTCCGCTGTGGTGGCTCTCATCCCGAAACATATGGCTGGCGGAGCGAAAAGGGTTCCGTCTCCGTCGACTAGATTTGAACCAGCGACTGTTTGCGTACCGGCCCATCACATCAGGTGTCGCACGGCTGTAAAGTCATGGCCAGCGGAGCGCGAAAATTATCGCCCGGCCGGGATTCGAACCAGTGACCTGGTTCATACCGGGCCCGGACGCTACCGACTTGGCCACGACGGAACGATACAGAGCACTACTTTCAGCGGCATCTTGATCTAAGCTGTGACCGACGCACCCGTAGACACTTGGCCAGCGGAGCAGGGGAAAATGACCGCGGATGGGATTCGACCTAACGACCACGCGCACGATCTGCCAACGATCACGCTTTAACACGCTCGGCTAACAGCTTGCTCCTACGGGGCCGAGGTCTAAGCTCGGTCATGCCTAACGGGAGACAAAAAGCGGCAAAGAAAAAATTTGCCCCGCCCGGGAGTTGATCTTAGGGCCGACAATTTTGGTTCGGATGAAGCTGCATGCGGTCATGTCGACTGTCTGTAGCTACAACTGTTTAACTACCAAAGGGAAGTGTGGCTAGTGGCGTCGGACATCGTATGTTTCCCCATTTGTGACCACATTTTTCTGTCCATGAACAGGGACGTGTCTACTCCCACTTGTCGCCGCGACATGAGTCGTCGCTTGGACGCCTGCGAGGCAGGCCACGCCACGGCTTCTATCTAAGGCGTCTGTAGTGACGAGGACTTTGGGTTTAGGCTCCTTTTGACTCCAAGCTCATAAATCCTTTCGAAAGTTAAGAAGTGACGCCGTGTCAATCTAGGCGTGGGTCGATGATTGTCGCTGAAAACGCCTGGAGGGTAGGCAATGCTTTCTTGAATCGGGCCCCCGCGGCCCCCTGTCCCTCCGAGCGCTTGGACATGGCGAGAGCTTCAGAGAGGCATTGACATATTTCGTTTTCGCTTTAGTTCTTAGCGCAGTTTACTTCTGGTTGATATTCTAGCATTGGCGAAAGTAATGAATTGGTCTATACAAGGTTCAGTTTAAGCTGACTCGGGCACTGTCGGCTTTAGTAGCTACAATCGTGTAGCTAAAAACAGCGACGTAGCCAGCAGGGGGTATCGCCGCCTAGGCGCGGAGGGTAGGCCACCATCTCTACGCAGACACTTGGCGGCCGGTCCGGCCCGACGCACCGCAGGCGTTGTCATTTGCCTTGTCTCAGATTACACCCGTATAAGACACATACTTAGAAAACAAATAGATACAATTTTTTTACTTTTGTGAAACCTCGTTCGGGTTTCTGGACCTCACCTGGGTCATTGGTCATCGCCATCTTTTGATATGCTGTTCCCGAACTTCAAGACGCGCTAATAGGTAAATGTATGGGGGGTGGGGGGATTCAGTACGCTACTTGTCTCTGTGGGTTGGAGACTCCCGCCCGCGCCCCGTGGTATTCGTCTAGTTGCGTCCGTGGCTTTCGGCTAGTGAGGGAATATCCGCAGAGCAAGCAAGGACTTGGCTTCTGCTTACACCCCGGGGGCGTCGGATATCATAAATTGCCCGAAAAATGACTGTTTAATGTCGGGTCGGATTAAGCTAACTGTGGCCACAAAAATGTGGCGCTTGAGTAACAACAGCTACAACTATGTAGCTAAAACAGTGACGTGTCCCACGGGTCATTCACAAAACCATATCGTAATTTTTTTGTTTTTATTTCTCATTTATTTTAACATGATGACATTTATAAAAATCCTATTGTTGTTGCTAACAGTCCTTCCCCTATATACTAAGGTACACATAACAGGATGAAAAAAATACATTTTCTAATGACAGTCTTTGCATATTTTAAGCTGTCAAGTTGGCACTTGACCCTAGATCAACATTGAAATAATTATTTTACAACATGAAAAGCATCAATTACATGAAATGGATTACGAATTGAACAAAATCTTAGCAAAGACACCAAATTGGAAAGATGAAACTGTGAGAGTTAGAGAGAAGTGATTGATGAAACAGATAATAACACAGCATAATGCTTCTAACATTGATATGCTTTTAAAAAGTTTCAATCCATTTTCATTACTGAAATATTTGTATGATACACACACAAAAGCTGCAAAGTAATTTACTTGCATTCTATGTGGAATAGAAAATTTGCAAATGTATGAAGTATTCCATGGTTTGTAGAATCAGAGATACAATTTTCACGTAATGGCAAATGGGTGATAGAATTTCCCACAATTACTGAAGATTTGTACCTCATACTTGAGTGAATTACACCTATGTTTTAAATGAAAAAAATGTTTGCACGTTTGTTTACTTTGTAAATTTTACTTTGTGTAATAAAAGACAGCTGCAGCTGTTAATTATGGAGTAAAACATCTAACAGCAACTTCATGGAATAACATAACACTCACTCTTTTTAAAAGCAACCATAAAGCTGTGCTTGTCTTTGAAATGAAACAAAGAATATAGACATGATTTATAGCAACATTAAAATTATGGCCACAAACCTAGAAATCCACAAACTTGTCATGGTTCAATTTCCATTGAAGAAAAATCACATTAGTCAATACTAATATATTGACAAAAATTGTTAGTAGAGGAGGACTTGGAAGATACTTAAAAAAGCAGATAAATAACACACATTAAAACAGCCTCTTAGAACAAAGTCTAGCTAGAATTATTTGTACTCAATCACACTGTTCATGCCTACACAAAATTTTCAATAATGAATAGGAAGTAATGCAAACCTAGCTACTATTAACAGGGATCACACTGACTTAGATTTTTGAGTAGGTTATTGTAAGCGTTGGGCAAATATAAACTATACCATCAACTGCACAGGTCTTATTAAACAACATTTAAACATCAAAAAAATAAATATTTAGCTTTGATTGAAATTAAGGGTTGAATTTAAATAATCTAAATGAGTTCTGATCTCATAAGATTATTTCTTCCAATAACCACACTTTATAGTGAAACCATAAATCCTTACACTTTATCAGAGGAACTAGTACAGGACATCAACACAAGAAGAATGGAGAGATGGAATGCTGAGGCGATTGGATGCTTCATAAAATTCTTCTTTGGTTCATCTTTTTGACCTCTCTGCACGACCGATGCAACACCACTTTTGTCTATGAGACCTTGTCAATAATTTTATATAACTGTATTTATGACCTCCAACAAATCCATAGGACAAAATTTATGGTGTCACCTTCAACACACACAAAATTTTAACAAACAAGTGTAAATTGGATTTTGGAATGTAAGTTAGCCTTAATGCAAATAATCAATAAAACACT